CCCAGGCCACGGAATCCTCCAAAGAATGGGTTTGGAAGAGGCTTGCTACAACTGCAATTAGGAAAGGCCCAGCTCCCTGGGGGAGCTGGGGGGTGGGAGGGAGGCGGGTGTCCAGCCGTGGGTCCCCAGGAGCTCACCACCTGGCAGGGGAGGAGACATGGAACTGGTACTCCCAGAAGGAATGAATAAATCACAATTATAGCATGAGTTAGAAGGGAGTGCAGGTGCCCCCAGTGTTTAATAAGGGGGGAGGGGCTCGCACAGGAGGCAGATGTTTCAATAAGCCCACTCGTTCATTCAACACACAATTAGGGAAGCGCTCCAGAGTCCGCGGTGAGCACAACCTAGATCCCTTGGCCCTGGAACCTACAGTCCTGCGGTGGAGACAGATACCAAGGCTATAACGGTACGGATAAAGATGGTTCCAGTGCTGAACCGTCTGCCAGAGCGCGCCTGAGCGGGATATCCACGAGGAACTGACTGGAAGGAGGCCATGGGGTCCAGAAAGCTGTTCCGAGAAAGCGGCGGTCAGCTCCTGAGTTAGGGGTGCAATTCTTTTCATTGGTAAAACTGGGGGGAGGTCCCCTGGAGAGGGCGCGCCTTCCTCCCCCACGTGCCAGGACCTTGCCTGGCCTTGGCGCGCTCCCCCATCGGCGGACTCACCTGCGAGCGGCCGAGGGGCCAGGGCTGGCGGAGGGCTGGCGGCAGCAGGTGGAGCGCGGGGCTGGCCCGCGCCGAGCGAGCGGCGCCGCCGCCGCCGAATCTGGGCTCGTCTCCCTGCCCCGGAGCCGGGCAACGATTAATCTTGGTTGACGGTTTCTAATATCCTAATTGGGAGGTGGGCAGAGCGGCCCAGTCCGCCCTAAAGGTGGAAGCGGCTAATGGGCCTCTTCATCACCGCCAGGAGCGCGAGGGACGCCGCGGCAGGTGAGGCGCGGCACTGGCGGCGGCCCTTAATGAGGCTGGAGGCCCCCGGCGCCCGAGGGGCGAGCTCTGGGGACGAGGGCGGTGCCAGGGTGAGCGGCGGCTTCGCCCTCCTCCGCCCCGACAGCCACCTGGGGGCCAGATACCTGAGGAGGCCTTCGGTGGGCGCAGTGCTGGGGGTGGCCTGGTCAGGCCTGCGCAGATAAGGATCTTTCCAGAGGTGATGGGAATCCAATGGGATGGGAGGAGGGTCTGAGAGCCTGCATCGCCTTGCACACTGCGGGCGCCTCGAAATGTTTGCTGACCTCCGAGGCCTGTGCCCGTATGTGCAGGGGAGAGTTCAGAGCAAGTGCGAATTTCGCGGCCTTTTCGTGGCCGCACCCCCGTCCCTTGGTGACTCGGTTTCCCTTCTGAGATGGGTTGGTGAGCTCCCCAGCCCTCCAACTCACAAAGGCGACCCTGCTCCAATATATGCCACCGGAACCCGTGGCTAGCCCCATCCCCTCAATGTGGTCATTACCACTCCCGCTCCTATCCTGACCCAAACTGCCTTGGGATGAGGTGGGGGAAATGCGGGCAGAGGCAGGGCCCACCCAGCCCCGTCGCCGCCCCCGCCCCCACCCCCACCCCAATCCCGGGAGCCCAGCGTCTCTGCAGGCTCCGCGCTCCTAGCTCGCTCGCTCGCTCGCTCGCTCGCTGTCAGCCTCTCCTGCCCTCTCCGCCTCCAGCCGCATCAGAAATATATTGCATTCTTACCTAATCCCGTTCAATTACAGCATAATAAAACACATAATAAAAACCTAATTCATTTTTCTCCCGCGTCTCCCCCATCTCCTGGCATCGTCTTGCTCGGGATTAAAATCTGTCTTCATGTTTGTGGCACGGCAGGCCCAGTGCCCGCACATCTTTAATGTATGAACCAGGACACTAGGGACCAGCGGCACCTGCAGGCACTTGAGAATGGGGGCTTGGGCCTGCGTGAGGCCCCAGACGCACCCACCTGCTGCGTTCCCCGGAAATCCGGTGGCCAGGAGCTAGAACGTCCGCCCAGTCCAGCCGACCCAGTGTGGCCTCCAGGGGGCGCAGAGGAGCAGGTCTCCGGGGATCGAGTTTGCCCAGGAGAAATGGGCCCACCGGGTGCAGCCCAGCGGGAGATGTAGAAGGAAGCCAGCCCTTCTGTCCGCAGCTCCGTTCTCTCCCTTGCCAGTCTGGCCAGTGAAGCCCTGACTTCCAAGCTTCTGCTACTAACCCCAACCCTCACTCCCAGTCCTCACACCCTGACTGACGCCTTGTGATCCCCTATGGACAACCTTGGATTACTGAAGTCAGGTTAGAACTTCCCAGAAGGAATGTTTAAGAGTCAAATCAGAGGGGCTGGTGCTGTGGGTTAAAGCCCTGACTTGAAGTGCCGGCATCCCATATGGTCTCTGGTTCTAGTCCCAGCTGCCCCCTTCCAATCCAGCTCTCTGCTATGGCCTGGGATAGCAGTAGAAGATGGCCCAAGTCCTTGGGCCCCTGCACCCACGTGGGAAACCCGGAGGAAGCTCCTGGCTCCTGGCTTCGGATGGGTGCAGCTCTGGCCGTTGTGGCCATCTGGGGAGTGAACCAGCGGATGGAAGACCTCTCTCTGTGTCTCTACCTTTCTCTGTAACTGTCTTTCAACTAAATAAAATAAATCTTAAAAAAAAAAAAAGAATCCAATCAGAGAAAATTGCCTAGAAAATCACAGTACCTGTTGAGTTTAGAGAGGGCAGGTCTGAGGCCCAACACATTCCTCCTTTGTTCAGTCAGGACAGAGGGCCCCAAACTTCCTAGATTCACTGAATTCTTGGGTTTTCAGTAATTTTTCAAATACACTGGATCCAAAGAAATCTCTGACAGCTTCCTTGGGTACACAAGTCCAAACAATGTAAGTATTTACATGCCAACAATTTTGCAGCTGTTTGAAAAACTAATACATGGGCCAGCTCACTTGGCTAATCCTCCGCCTACGGTGCCAGAATATGGGCCCTGTGTTCTAGTCCCGGTTGCCTCTTCCAGTCCAGCTCTCTGCTGTGGCCCAGGAAGGCAGTGGAAGATGGCTGAAGTGCTTGGGCCCCTGCACCCGCATGGGAGACCAGGAAGAAGCACCTGGCTCCTGGCTTTGGATCGGCACAGCGCCAGCCGTAGTGGCCATTTGGGGGGTGAACCAGTGGAAGGAAGACCTTTCTCTCTGTCTCTCCCTCTCACTGTCTGTAACTCTACCTGTCAAATAAATAAAAAAATAAAAAAAGACAAACTAATACACACTAGTTGGAAGAAAGAATATTTTTATTTCATTTTTTAAATATTTATTCATTTATTTGAAAGGTAGAGTTACAGAGAAAGAGAGAGAGAGATTGTCTATCTACTGGTTCACTCCCCCAGTGGCCACAACAACCAAGGCGAGGCCAGGTTGAAGCCAGGAGCCAGGAGCTGCTTCCAGGTCTCCCTCGTGTGTGCAGAGGTCCAAGCACCTGGGCCATCTTCTGCTGCTTTCTCAGGTTCATTAGCAGGAAGCTGGATCAGAAGTGGAGCAGCCAGGACCCGAACCGGCACCCATAGGAGATTGCAACACTGCAGGCCACAGCTTTTAACCTGCTGTGCTACAGCACCGGCCCCTTTATTTCATTCTTAACCCCAATTCTTCACTAATAGGATGTAGGCATCTCTGTGTTCTCCTTATTTCCTATTCCACACCGATTCTTGTGCAGGGCCTGCTTTTATCACAAGCCATTACACGAAGACATCACTAAATATAATGCAGCACAAGCTAACGGTTGAAACTCTGAAATACCACATGCAGTGTCCAATCAATATCGAGTACGTTTCCCTCAAAAGCAGCCCCGGGAGTTCCCTGTGGCCCTCTGGGGCACCTCACAACATAGCTTGGAAACTTCAGATCCAGGGGCCACCCACTGTCTATGCAACAAGCTTCCTTAATTGATCTTGGGAACTTAGGGACAATTGAAGAGTGTATCTGATTTAGCCTAAGGAAAAGAATTTGATTCTTTCCACAGTGTGGGGGTCAGATATATGCAGAGGAATCTGACAGACTGGTTCAGGGGCTGGCAACCAACTTGCAGAAACGGGGACCTCACTGATGAGCAAGTGTAGCAGGATGAGTGAGTATCACAGAAAGCAAAGCTTCCAGGCATGTGTAGGGTGATGCTTTATCCCATATACACCACTGCCCAGCACCACCACGCCATCCCCTGGTGCCCCGGTGTGCCCTGGAAGGCAGGCACAAGCAATTCCGCTCGGAAGCCACTCTGTAAGGAACCGAGAGGGGCCAGCACTGTGGCTTAGAGGGTAGAGCCACCGTCTGTGATGCCAGCACCCCAGATGGGTACTGATTCAAGCCCCAGCTGCTCTGCTTCTGAGCCAGCACCCTGCTAATGCACCTGGAAAAGCAGCAGATCATGGCCCAAGTCCATGGGCCCCTGTATCCACCTTGGAGAACAGATGGGAGTTCCAGTCTCCTGGCTTCAGCCAGGCCTGGCCCCAGCCATTGCAGTCATTTGAGAAGTAAAGCATTAGATGGAAGATTCTCTCTCCATCTCTCCATCTCTCTTTGTCATTCTGCCTTTCAAATAAATAAATCTTTTTTTTTGGGGGGGGGCACTGTGGTGTAGCAGTTAAAGCTGTCGCCTGCAGTGCCAGCATATGGGTGCCGGTTTGAGGCCTAGCTGCTCCACTTTCAATTCAGCTCTCTGTTATGGCCTGGGAAAGCAGTGGAAGATAGTTCAAGTCCTTGGGCCCCTGCACCTGTATGGGAGACCCCGAAGAAGCTCCTGGCTCCTGGCTTCGGATAGGTGCAGCTCTGGCCATCGCAGCCAATTGGGGAGTGGGCCAGCAGATGGAAGACCTCTCTCTCTCTCTCCCTCACTCCCTCCCTCCCTCCCTCTCCTTCTCTCTCAGTGTAACTCTGATTTTCAAATAAATAAATATATTTTTCGACAGGCAGAGTTAGTGAGAGAGAGAGAGAGAGAGAGAGAGACAGAGAGAAAGGTCTTCCTTCTGTTGGTTCACCCCCCAAATAGCCGCTACGGCCAGCGCGCTGTGCCAATCTGAAGCCAGGAGCCAGGTGCTTCCACCTGGTCCCCCATTCGGTGCAGGGCCCAAGCACTTCAGCCATCCTCCACTGCCTTCCTGGGCCACAGCAGAGAACTGGACTGGAAGAGGAGCAACCAGGACAGAACCGGCGCCCTGACCAGGACTAGAACCCGGAGTGCTGGCACCAGAGGCGGAGGATTAGCCTAGTGAGCCGTGGCGCCGGCCCAAATAAATCAATCTTAAAAAAATAAATAAAGGGAAGATACATCTCTTCTAGATTGACTTACATGGTGGCAACCTGGTACCAGCCCCAGGAAGGTGCAAAAGTGGAGGGTAGGTCAGCCACACAGGGAACTGCCAAAGGAAGAGGGCACTGGCAGGTGCAGAGAAACAGATAAAGCACAGCCTTGGGGGCCGGTGCTGTGGCGGAGTGGGTAAAGCCGCCGATTGCAGTGCCAGCATCCCATATGGGCGCTGGTTCGAGTCCCAGCTGCTCCACTTCCGATCCAGCTCTCTGCTATGGCCTGGTAAAGCAGCAGCAGATGGCCCAAGTCCTTGGGTCCCTGATGCCCACATGGGAGACCTGGGTGGAGTTCCAGGCTCTTGGCTTCAGCCTGGCAGAGGCTTAGCCCACTACACCACAGCGCCGGGCCCCCACTCTGGGTTCTTAATGGAAGTGCCTATACACTCCAGACCCACCCAGCTCCCTGCCTTTCCCCAGGCCCTGTTGGTGAGCACCGTTCCTGGTTCTGACAACTATAGCAGAACCCTTCCAACATAACCACTCTTCACAATCATTGCTCTCAACAACTGAACACATTTCAGCTTCAATCAAAGTTCAAACAGAAGTGCTCCTTCTGGGGAAAAAAAATATCAATGCAGTGAGGACTTGCTGGTGGGAGGGGAGGGAGGGCTTCGGTCAGAAGGAAAAGAATATAGGCCCTTAACTGGTTAATTTACAGACTAACACAGCCAGCCCTGCCCCTTAAGTAAGCACCTTCTGGAAGGAGCTTCTCGCTGCCTGTTAAGAGCACCGCGCGTGTTATTTTCCTGTTGGATGTGCTGGGGGTGGCTCGGGGTTGTCAGTGTAGCCCAAGCTAAGGAGGGATCCTCCGCCCCGCACACGCCGGGTCCGCCAGTTCAGCCGCAAGAACTCCTGGGTCTGAGATGGAAAGGGGGAAGCTGGAGGAGGCCAGCGCCTGGAGCTGGGGCTGCCGTTGGCGCCCTGGCGGCCTGGGCTGGGACTGGAACATCCCAGGAAGCTCCCTTTTGGAGAATGACCCAGCTGGCAAAGGGTGGTGCCCGCATCAGGACCGAGACGACCGCAGCGCCCGCGGAGAGGAAAGACGAGAGGCGCCGCGACGTCGGCCCGCAGGCGCGAAGGCGGGTCCCCCTCGCAGAGCCCAGCTGCCGGGGTTCCGAACACGCTTCCTGAACTCCTGGGTGGGAGGCCAGGGAGCGCGAGCGAGGCGGACGGCACGGGGGGAAGGGCCGAAGCCCGGGAGGCGGCTGCCCAAATGGGGGCTTGGGACCAGGAGAGGCCTCGCGTGATTCCTCGAAAACCTCGCGCGTTTCCGGGCAGGAAGTCAAAGGGCGGGCCCTGGGAAGCTCTTGGATTTCGAAACTGGAAAGAAGGGGGGGTGGGGATTGGCGGATTTAGCAGTCCGGGACCAGGAGCAGCAGGGCAGCCGATTCGAGATGCATGCTCCAGGCTCAGGGAAGAAGGTGAGCCGGACCCGCGACCCAAGGCGCTACCGCCGTTGCCCGGGAAACGGAAGGACCGACAGGGCCACCGCGGGGGGCGAGACTCTAGCAGCCGGCTACGTCTCTGGTGGGCGTGGCTTACCGATGGCTGGGGGCGGGGCTTGAAGCTGCCAGGCTTTACCCGGAGGGAATAGGATTGGCGCTGCCTGGAACCTGGCCAGACCAGGCTAAAGTCTGACTGGTGTGACCCCGCAGGGCTGGCGCTGAAATTGGCCCTAACCGCCTGTCCTTAGGATGGTGGCTTCATCCGGTCCTGGAATCCAAGACAGGGGCAGGAGATGCTCACTGTGACGAGGCTAAGCCAGGGCTCCGGACTGAAGCCCTTTATTTTCCCGTTTAGACTGTAGTGGGGGAGAGAGGAGGGTTGTGTTTTGTGTTCTATCTTAATAAGGGCAGAATGGAGGCCCTGGAGTGGATGAGGCCAGGCGAGGGGAAGAGATGCAGCCTCCCAGAGAAGTTCCTGGCCTCTAAGCACTGGAAAGAAGGCCGACCCACCCGAGAATGAGGTGGGTGAAGAAAGTGAGCCGCACGCCCCACCCACAGGCTTACTTCTGGTGAAAATTCCAGTGTGTGGAGACACTTCGGAGTCACCTGGTGGGTCCGTCCCTGGAGAGGCTATGAGGTCCCTGCAGATAATGTAGCGTGTTTCAGAAACTAGTTTGAAGCAGGAAGGAAAGACGCTTCCTACTCTGCCCACCAGTGCCCTGCCAGTCTTCTCTGAGGTGGTTTAGCATTACCTGCAGGGCACAGTTCTTTTTTATTTTAATGTTTGTTTACTTATTTTCCATCGAAAGGCAGAGCAACACACACACACACACACACACACGCGCGCGCGCGCACGTGCGCACATCGTCCATCCACTGTTTCACTCCCCAAATGCTTACAACAGCCAGGGCTGGGCTATGCCGAAGTCGGGATCCTAAAACTCCACCTGGCTCTCTGACATGGGTGGCAGGGGAGCCAAGCACTTGAGCCATCATCTGATCTCTCCAGGATGCAGTAACAAGAAGCTGGATCATAAGCAGAGCAGCCTGGACTCAAACCAGTGTTCCGATAACTCACGGCACTAGAATGCCCACCCCAAATAACTGCTATATAATGTCTTTTAAAAAAAGATATATTTTATTTATTTGAAAGGGAGAGAGAGAGAGCTTCCATCTGCTGGTTCACTCCCAAAATGGCCGCAACGCCCGGGGTTGGGCCAGGCTTAAGCCAGGAGTCAGGAGCTTCCTCCAGGTCTCTCACATGGGTGCAGGGGCCCAAGCACTTGGGCCACTTGGCCAGGCCATTATCAGGGAGCTGGATGGGAAGTGGAGCAGCCAAGGGTGGGATGTCAGCACTGCAGGTGGCTGCTTAACCCAATACACCGCCAGCCCTTTGTTTTGTAAAGATTCCTGCACCTCACTCTCAAACTAGGTTTATCTTCCATAGATCATCCCTGATTGGCAGGTTGGGGTAGAGTTGAGACTTTTATCTAAATGTTGTCCTGTTTTTAATCAAGATTGGGGATCTTCACTTGTTTTTTTTGTTTTTTGGTTTTTGTTTTGTTTTGTTTGACAGGCAGATTCAGAGAGACAGAGAGAAAGGTCTTCCTTCCGTTGGTTCACCCCCCAAGTGGCCGCTACAGCCAGCGTGCTGTGCCAATCCGAAGCCAGGAGCCAGGTGCTTCTCCTGGTCTCCCATGCGGGTGCAGGGCCCAAGCACTTGGGCCATCCTGCACTGCCTTCCCGGGCCACAGCAGAGAGCTGGACTGGAAGAGGAGCAACCAGGACAGAATCCAGCACCCCAACCGGGACTAGCACCCAGGGTGCCGGCGCCGCAGGCGGAGGATTAGCCTAGTGAGCCGCGGCGCCGGCCAGGGATCTTCACTTGTACTGCAACTGTGAAACTCTCAAGGTGGGAAACTACTTAGTGGCATTAATGAAAGGCTTGTGTGCACTTGTTGACCTGTCAGTTTTGCTGGTCTGTACAAAAGGTGGCCAGGGAAAGAGAGGCCCTGGAAAGTCCACAGGACCAGAATAACGGCCTCAAGGTCGGCTGGTGCCTGGCAGGTGAGAAGTCTAGCAGAGTGGCCATGGTGACACACACACCTCTGCTTCAATCCTAGCTATACCGCCTCCTAGTAGTGCAGTGTGGGAAACTCCCTTAATAACTTGAAGCCTGTGTGGTTATGAAGATCAAGAGATGACAGACTCACAGCCCTGGCTTCACTGAGCCCCCACCACACAGGGGGATTCATGGTCAACAGCTGGTGTCAGCCCTGCTGCCTGCCCAGGTCAACTTCTGACTCCAAGGACAGTGAGTGACCCCAGGCCAAGGTGCACTTCAGGCTGCTGTGAGAGCTTTGGGCTGGGAAAAAAAGGGAAATGAGGGGTCTCTCCCTGCAGGGAATGAGCACAGTTTTTCATTAAAAACCCATTTATCATTGTTCCCTTTGAATCTACAAAAGCTAAGACTCAGGGGAACAGAGGCAACTATAAACTGCCCAATAGTAGCTCTTACCAGCTAGACACAGAGGTGAACTTCTGGCCTCGTCCACCCCCCAGAAATAATGGGGGAGGGTGGGTTACATTCATAGGGAGGGGGTGGAGGACCCTGGGGTCATGGGAAGAAGTGTTAAGGGGAGTGGTCAAGAAGCCACTTGGGATATTCAAACAAATCAAACCAGTGCCTGGTTTGAGTCCCAGCTGCTCTGCTCCAGATCCAGCTTCCGACTAATGCATCTGGAAAGCAGCAGATGATGTCTCACGTACCTGGGTCCCTGCCACCCATGTGGGAGACCTGAACTGAAGTCTAGGCTCCTGGCCCAGGAATGGCTATTGCGATTATTTGGGGAGTGAACCACTGAATAGAAAATTTCTCCTCTCTCCTGTCTCTCTCTCTCTCTTTGAACTGAAGGTGTATTTATTTATTTGAAAGGCAGAGTTACAGAGCGAGAGAGGAAAGGACAGAGATAGACAGAGATTTTTCATCTGCTGGTTCATTCCAAATGGCTGCAATGGCTGGAGCTGGGCCAGGAAAAGCCAAGAGCCTGGAACTCCTACTGGGTGGCAGGGACCCAAGCACGTGAGCCATCTTTTGTTGACCTCCAGGCGCATTAGCAGGGAACTGGATGGGAAGTGGAGCAGCAGGAACTAGAACTAGTGCTCCAGTATGGGATCTCAGCATCGCAAGCAGCAGCTTAACACACTACACCACAACACCAGCCCCTCTCTGTCTTTCTCCTCCCACCCTACCTCTCAAAGAAAATGAAAATAAATACACACAACTTCTTGAGGGGCAGAATTTTTGCTAAGAAAAAGCAATTTGCTTTAAAAAAAAAAAAGTATTAAATGGCAAGTGGTTCCTGCCAGGCCTGTTCCCGTGGGACTTTGTAGGGCATGGAGGAAGTGCCGGTGTCCTAGCAGCCTCTGTGATGGAGCCGGGCAGTTCTCAGCCCTCTCGCCTCCCTGTCTCCAGAGGCCTCTATGTCACTCTTCCCCCCATGCCTGAACTGGTGGGCAGATCCCGCCCAGCCCCCAGTGGGCAGTGTTCCATCCATCGCGATGACAAAAGGCGGCCTCATCTGCAGTCCCTGCAAATGAGGGGACTGACTTTTTAAATCTCAGAGCGCCCTCTTCTGGGAAATGAGGCTCCCTACAGAAGAGGAGGCAAGAGGCCAAGAACTGGACTTCCTAGGGAGAAAAAGGAACTCCGCTGGACACTCGGACATGGAATCAGGTGAAGATCAAGAAGGAGACAGGCTTGTAGTTTATTGAGTAGCAGTGGCAGCATGGCTGTTGTCACCGGCGCTGGTGGCCTGGGAAAGTGCCCCCAGAGCATCCACTGAGGCCTTCTGTCCATCCCACCGCCACGGCCGCTTCAGCCAGTGTCCGTGGAGCTGCAGTCAGGACTGAGCTCTGAATTCACCCCCAGCCATCCCACTCCACGCCCACGTTCCACTTGGACCCACCATTGATGCCCGGGCCCTTCCTCTCCTTGGGGTTGGGGTGGAGGTAGGAGCGGGGCCAAGCCTCAAGAAAGCAAAGCGGCTAAGGTGGGGGCTTTGCTGATTGTCTCACAGGGGCCAGTGGGACACAGAATCCCTGGTCTGAGGATCGCACACTCAGGGCCTGGTTGCCTTTGAGGGTTCCTAGCTACAACCACTTGGGTGCCTGAGGAGTTTAAGCACTGCTCCCACAGCTGGGACCCTCTGTGAGCAGGTACAGTGGGAGCTCTTAGAGGGAAGTGCTCGCTCTGCCTTTGTGGCTCTTTGGTTGGGGAAAGGGGTTGGAATGGTGGGGTTTCAGTCTGAGGTCATGATGTCAGAGCAGACCAAGAACTCCTAAGTGGTGCCTAAAGACACCAGCATTGAGGTCTGGGGGAGTCGGGGGAACAGCAAGAGCAGCACAGGCTACTAACACTGCTTTGTTCTGGTATAGGAGAGCAGTGGAAGAGGGGCTGTTCCAGGGTGTGGGGGTGCCGCCGAGGGATGCGTGAGCCCCCTGCCTCCCCTTACCGCACTGTGGCTTCCTGAGCCAGCCCACTTCCAGAGTCAGCTTTGGGAACCAGGTCTCAAACTGGAAGGATTCAGCCCACTTTGGCCTGCTAGTGGCCCTCCGTGCCTATCTTGGGAGCCTGGGGCTCTTCCTGTGTCTAGAAAGGGTGAGGCGCTATCAGAAGTGACAGCCAATGAAAGAGTTCAGGGACGGAAGTCCCACCTTGACCTGGCTGGCAGGTGGGCAGGCCGCTGAGAAGGGAAGCCAGGTATCAGAACATCCCAGGATAATATGTCTGCCACTTTCTTCCAGGACCAACGTACACATACATGTCTCATGCATGTATGTATGTGGACACACAAGCACAGGTAAGGAGGGGTTATGTGATGTCACTCTTTGAAAACAGAGAAGAGAGAAAAAGGCTTATGGGAGCACCTCCCCCACCCTAGTGGGTTGCTGGTATCCGTAGCTGCTCCCCTCCCCCACGCCTCTTGCCCCATACCAGGCAGCTGGGCAAGTGGCAGTGATGGCAAGGCACCATGAAAGCAACAGCCCAGGCAGCAAGGGAGGGGACAGCTGACCCCCCTCAGAGCCCCTTGTTGTAGTAAACCACTTCGATGCTTGGCTTTTGCTCGTGGATCTGAGCTCTTAGCTCCGGCTCCAGCCTGCTCACTTGTATGGAGCTGCAACAGGACAGCACAGGTGGGTTGACTGCCCCCTGAGCCCCCGCCTCAGGCTCAAGGACCACCGTTCCTTCCCTCTCCCACTCCCACTCCTAGAAGCCTGGCTCCCTGTCACTCCCCCACCCCCAAAATCAGAAGACTGCCTGCCAAGCCTCCGCCCAGAACATACAAGGAGGGTCAGGAGCCCCCGGCCTTGGCCAGGGGGCAGCACTTACCTCCTCTGGGGAAACAGGGCACAGCACAGGGGCGTGGCAAACACCAGGCTGGGAGAGAAGGTTGGAAAGGCTGGTGAAGTTTGGCCTGGGTTGTTCTCTCCCTGCGCCCACCCATCCCTGAAGATAGCCCCTGGAGGTAGAAGTATTAAACCCAAAAGGGCCTTTTAGGAACATTAAGCCCAACCCTGACTTTAGGTTCTGGCTGAGGACAGAGCCCCAAGAGCTACGTTCCAAAGCCCCTGGCCAAATAGGTGCAGAACCAGGAGTGAAATGTGTGGGAAAGCCCTTCCTGGCCCAGGAGTATTTGTATGTTTCCCCTTGTAGATGAAGACTGGCAGCCCTTCAGCTAAACACGTGACCTTCATGGGCAGGGACCACCCCCTAACACGCACAGGTGTCCAGGACACACACGAGCCGGACACATGAATGCACACTGAGTATAAGCATCTCAAAGGCCATAGAGAGCCATCTTCGCCCACTGTGGATGAGGCGCCCACACCCCACCCCACCCCGCTAGCTCCTTTGACACTTACCAGAAGCCCACCAGTCCCACCTGCAGGGGTGCCCCCAGCCAGGGGCGGCGCTGTGGGGAGACAGAGACAATGGGATGGCTGGTGTCCCCGGCCTCCTAACCCCCATCCTGCTCCACCCACTCTGGCAGTATCCTGTCAGGCCTACCTGTGGGCCTTTTCTATCTGCCCAGCCCAGGAGACAGTGGATCCATTGCACCCATGCACTCCAGCCAGGCCTGGGAGCTGACCACCCTCCCCGACATCCTGTCAGTCATTCTCACCTCTCAGAATTGGTTGCCAGGACACTTGCTGGCCCCTCCTCTTCTCTCACCTCCTCCGGGAGCTGCTTCCTTCACCAAGTCTTGGCTCTGAACCTCCACTCCCAGGCCCCTATCCTAGAGGTATGAATCTGTCCCTTTCCAAACACATCCCCTGCTCGGCACACTGCTCTCAATTGGCTTCAGTCACAAAGACCACCGTCGGGCCCCTCAAACGTTCCTGCCCCAGGTCCTTCGCACTGGGTTTTCTCTGTACCTGAAACACTCTTCTCTGTACTCCGTCCAGTCTCCCCTTTCCATCCCTGAGTTGTCAGCAATCCTTCTTGACCACTTTCTAAACAGCTCGTCCCCTCTAGGGCCCACTGGTTCCCCACAAAGTACGCATCCCAGCTATTTATATTGGTGGCTTCCTTGTTTATTGGCTTCTGTGCTGAATTATAAGCTTCCTGAGCACAAGGACTGTTGTCAGGGCCGGCACACAGCCTGGCACGTAGTCGGTTCTCACTCAGTATTTATGAATGGATGATCTAGACCATGTATCCCTGTGCCTTGCTTCCCCGTCCTGCTTGCGTGTGTGTGTAAACATGTGCACGCTGTGGTGGTGGGGCCTGCTAGTGGGTGATAGTAAGAGTATGCTATCAAATATGACCGTGACAGTCCTTATCCCGGGGTCGAGGCCTCCAGGGTGACGCCAGCTCCCTTTTGGACAGAAACCATTTCCTTCTTCCCTTATCTTCTCTTCCTGTGTTCCTTCACCCCAGCCAAATTCATTCTTGTTGAATGAATGAAGGTGGGGGTGCAGGCCTTAGGCTCAGGCCAGGTTGGAGAGGGCTGGAGGCTGATGCCTTCCTCTCAGCCACCACCACTTCCGGGATGGGGGCGTGGTGAGTGCGTGCCACCTACCTTCAGGAAGTCTTTCTTCTCCAGAGTGTCCATGATCACAGGGGGGATGGCTGAGGGGAGAGCAGGGCGGGAAAGGAGGCGGTTGGTAAAATGAAAGTCAAGGACCCCAAGGAAGGGAGACCTCTTCACAACTCCTGCATCCTCCCTACAATCTTACTCCCCCAAAGTCCGCAAAAGAAACTGCACCCCTCTTCCTTTCAGAGCACCCCCCCCGCCGCCATGCTTCCTCCCGCCTCACCCATGGCAGGAATCGCCATGCAGATTCTCGATACCACCACCTGGAAGATTCCCTGCTTGGCCGCAGTCACCGAGTGGCCAAGCCTCTGACCTGTCTCGTCAGTCACCGGGATGCCCACCTGCAGCTCCCTAGGAAGGAAAAAGGGGGCTGGGGTCAGATCTTAGGCCCCAAAGCCACCTGCAGTGCCGCACATCCTACTCAAAGGCCATTTCTCCCACCAGCCCGAGGATTCCAGACTGAGACTGAGACAGCGCTGAGCCGATCACGTCTGGGGAGGGAGAGCAGCGTCCCCACGCAGGGCTGGTCTGCATGAGGACACTGGGCGTGCACGGGCCAGGGGCAGCACTGCTCACCTCTGCCGCATCAGAGGGATGTTGATGCAGTTGGCGGCTGCCACCGCTGCAAAGGGCACAAATCTGCCGACCAGGGGAGGCAGGTGCTGGGGGGAGAAAGATGTCATTCAGTGGCCCTGTGGGCCATGGGCTGGTGAGGGTCCCTGGGGAGAAATATAGGGATCCCACAGGTCAGGACTGGGGGGCGATGGGGAGGAAGGAAGGGGACAAAGGATGTGTGGGGGCACCTCTACCTTGGTGAGGGATTTGAGTCCAAGAGCCGTGGCCACAGCCCCAGTGGTGGCACTCACATAGGCTGTTCCCAGCTGCCTGTGGATGGAAGGGGCAGGTTACAAGGGAGAGGTGAAGAGGCCACCTATGGGGTCTTTCCTTTAGGGACATGCCAGAACGTCAGCATGTGACCGTGAGAGGGTGGCCTCACTGCAGAGAAAGCCCTCCCCAGCCCCTGCATAAACTTGGTAGGAAGCCCCCAGAGCATACCCTGGGGGACCTCAGGCCCTCAGGTGAGGCAGGGGTCAAGCTAAGCCTCTGGCTGCTGGGCCCACAGGGAGCAGGAGACAAGGACGGAGAGGTGGGGGTGAGAGAAGAGGGTCCCGCACAGCACCGCAGCTCTTCCTGGGGACATGTTCTCACCCCACGGTGATGGGAGCGTCGCCGCTGCGGTTGGAGTAGTTTACAATGGCGTTGAAGGACTGATTCACCCACTGCCAGAACACCACGGTTGGGGTCGTCCTGGAGGAACAAAGACACTTACTTCTGCCCCCTCTACACCATCACTCGCCTTGCACCCTACAATGAAACCCCATAGGTTATTCTCAACCCGCAGGGGGAGCCCCTACCCCTGCGTGCCCCACCCTTTACACACCCACTGTGCCCAGGGCTGAGATTCCAACAGCAGCTCTTGCCCTCCCACTGTCCTCTGTCCAAAGTGTCCCAGAGAGGAAGCACCTACTCACCAAGCCTTAGCGTACTCAGGAAGGGACAGGGGACAAGACCTGCCTGTAGAAGGTGAGCATGCAGCCAGTGATGGTCATGTTCATGGGCACCTGGGCTGACATGCGGCCAATCAGGACCACCTTCTCTCCCGTGTCCGGGTGGAAGGCAGAGTCGTACACGTACTTGGCCCTCCACAGCTGGTCCTCGGTGAGCCCCGGAGTGAGCACGCCGGCCCTGTAGAAGTTAGCAAGGGGTAGGCAGGCCAGGAACTTCAGCCCCCATCTTGGGAATAAAGGAGCTCCTTGTCTTTGGGGGAAGGGCAAAGCTTCCCCAATGTGGAAGCTCCTATTACTGGTTGCCTTCTAGCTCCACACAAAGGGCGGCCCTTGTGTTTCTCCCAAAATGCTAGGTCAGGGTGATGGTGGTTTCCAATGGGTGGTTGCCCTGTGGCCTCGGTGGTTCTCTCCGTTCTCTCCGTTGAGCCCTGCCCTCCCTGCACAGGGCGGCCCGGCAGTGGGAAGGGTCCTTATCAAGGGTTTGTGAAGCACAGAGCAGCACCCACTTTAAGTATCAATGCCACCTCCTCAACCCAGACACCCTCCAGTCCTTATTGGATCAAGCTCTGGGCCACAGTGCTTGTGACACCAACAGACAGGGCGACGGGGGGGGGGGGGTTGAGGAGTAGGACCGGGTGACTTTCGAGCTGGGGGAGGCAGGTGCAAAATGTACTGTATTGATGGCAGGGAACGAGACCCATGGGGACAGGGTCAGACTGGAGGAGTCACCTGTAGTTCTGTACAATGTTGCGGGAAGCTTCCAGCTGTGCCCCGGATAGCAGTAGATTTCGGGGATCGGTGACAGTGAAGAAGTGCCTGGCTCTGCCCAGGAAAGTGCTTTGGTCCCAGCGAGGTTCCTCGATGTTGATATTTAAGGGCAGTTCACCCATTTTCTGCAGGGCAGGGACAAAGTCAGAAGGTTCCAAGGAAGGGACCCAGAAACTCCACCTGGGGATACGTTGGTAGCCCTGTCCTGGCACCTGCCTGTCACCAGCACCTTCTAGAGCTCAAGGTGACTCTAGGAAGCCGGGGTGGGGGAGGAGTTGTTTCCTAAGCAACGTCCTGGCCCAGGGACCCACAGCCTCTGGAGAGGGGAGGGGAAGGTCAGCACCGGGAACACACATCTCCTTGTGCTTTGGCCTGATACAGATTTTCATGAGTGAGGATTTACATGTATGTGGCCAATGCATAAACAGCAGCTAATCCTGTGTACCTCCTTGTGTACTCTGGATGCACAGTACTCATCACGCACTGCACACCCAGGCTCATGTCAGCTGTAGGTCCCCAGCTGCCCTGAGACCTAGATACAAACACCTAAGACATTTGAGAAGATGGCAAAAGACATGCCACATTCCAGCCCACACTCCTGACAGGAAGAAAGCCAGAGTTCACTGGGCACCCCAGGGCTTATCGGCTCCACATGGTCTCAAACATAGGTCTCTTGTCAGCCATGTGCATGCACAGATCTCCCCTCCAGACCCAGCTTCCCCAGCCCACACAAAGTCCCAAGGCTCTCCCTGCTGGGCAGCCTGGCACAGACACCCACCCTCCTCTCCAGGAGCTACCGGCCTCCAGACTAGAGCCGCACTCAGCTCAGCGGAAGCCCCTCCACCCAGCACAGAGAGGAAAGCCGGCAGCAGCCATCTGGCAAAATCCTGCAGAATGACTAATCCTCTGCGGCCCCACTTCCTCCCTCCCTGGAGGACTCACCCTCCCCTCTCGCACACTCACTCACACTCACACTCACATACCCATGCACAAAGTCACCATCATGCACGCCCTGCCCGGACATACAACAAGGTGGACGCTCCGGGTGTACACCAGCCCACAAAGACCTTTAGTCTCTGTCTCTCTGCCCGCCCCACCTCCATCGCCATCAGTGAGCACACACAGCCCCACCCTGACACTCCTCCCCAGCCAACCGCCCGTGGACCTCCGCAGAGAGGAAGTCACTGAATCCCACGCGACAGAGCGCCCGGTTCAAGGCAAGCCTCAGTTTCCCACCCCAACCTGCAGTGCTCGCCTCCCTGCTCCGACCCCTCCAGGCACGGCCAGCACTCACGCCTTCCAGGGCTCCGGGCCTCTGCAGCTCTCAGACCTGCCTTCCTCTCCGTGCGTCGCCGCCGCCCTCCTGAGAGGACGGGACGTCACGCGTGACGCTGAGCAGCGGGGAGGGGCGGGGGTGCTCGGGGCGCCTTCGCCCGCGAGCCTGGGGATTGGCAGAGCCTGGGAGCCGTGGGTGTCATTGGGACCAACGAGACTGGGTCCTGCGCCTTTTCCTAGAGTCAACCGTGTGGTGGGGATCAATCCCGTCCCAGTTCCCCGCCAGAGAGAGGGGGGAGGAGCCGCGGGCGCTGCCCCTTGTGCCTGCAGCCCCCCGGCGGGCGGTGGGCGGCCCTGCAGCCAGCAGTCTAGGTGCGCTGGAAGGAAGCTCGCGGAACGCAGGGCGCAGGTGGGCGGCATAGAGGGGCTGCCCTCTGATGGGGCGTCCGGAGGGACTCGGGTAACAGCGGGCTTGTTTACTTGATGGCTGCCTTGGCGACGGCCTCTGCCAGCTTGCCAGGTCCCCCTCCCTCCCACCCCACCTCCCGTGCACCTTCCCCAGGACCCACAAGCTCCGCCCACGGTACCTTGGCATTCGCTCCCCTTCATTGCCCTGTTCCTGTCGAACCTGTGCCCCGTCCATGTCCCCAGCCCTCTCCCTGCTCCCCCTCTGTCACCCGTTGTTTGTGTCTCCATTCTCCTTATCCCAACCCCCATTCCTGCGCCACAGTCCCCGGGATGCCGAGGGCCAGGAGGCTCGGAAGACCCGGCGGCGCCTCCGCAAGCGCGTCGGAGGGGCTCTTCCTCCGCCCTTGTGATGGGACCGCCGCCTCGCCCGCACCCGAAAGGGGGTGTCCAGAGAGAGGAGGATGCCGGCGAAGGCGGCTGCCCCCAGCCACGCGCGTACGCACTCGCGGCTCACACGGCACGCGGACAGCTCCCCCGGCGCCAGCCCGCGCTCCTGTCAGCGCAAGCTCGCTCCCCTCTCCGCCCGGTGACATTCCCCACTGCCTCAGGGATGACCACGGAGGGGTGGCAATTCCAAGAGCTAGGGGAGCTGGCTTGGCCAGCGAAAGACGCGGTTCCGTCAGGAGGAGAAGGCGAAGACGCAAATTCGCGTGACGGGTGGGGCGCCGGCGTCGGAGTGGAGAGCAAAGAGCCCCGCGGCCCCGGGCCGGGTGAGGGGCGGCTGCCGCGGGCGCCCGAGGGAGGCGCCGGGATGGAGTGATTGGCGTCCCCAGCAGCCAATGGAAGCCCATGACTTACAACGCGGCGGTGCGTGGGCGGGGTCCCCAGCAGCTACAGTCGCAGCGCCCGCGGGCGGGCGAAGCGGGCGGCCGCCCCCACGCCAGGAGGTGAGAGGGTCTGGCCCGACAATGGGGGGCCGGGAGGGCTGACCCCGGGGTGGGGTGATGCATTCTGGGCCCAGAGCTGCCCCGGGTTTTGCGCGGGATGTTGTGGGCTCTTAGCCATCGTGTCCTCCTGGAAGCGTGGGAGAGGCCCCCGAAACCTCTTCAGTCCAGGAGCGTCGTCCCCTGCTCCCGGAGCCTAGCAGTCTTTGGGGTCCTCGACCCCAGATGTCCCAGGGCCTTCGCTCGAAGCCCGGAGTCTGGTCCTCTACCCGCATACACAGCACAGGGCTGCGATGAACTGTCCTGACCCCTCGTGTGTGTACACCGCCCGAAGCTTCAGGGCCCCCGAAAATCCCATCCGCATTTTCAACCTCTGCTGAGGACTGGGGCGAGTGCGGATGGCTCAGCCGTGAGCTGGAGCCAGGAGTGAAAAAGAGGCTCCCACCTGCCTTGTGTTAATGGCTCTCATGGTGCCTGCCCAGCAGTCCTCTTGCCCGACGTGGGAGAACTGGGGGCCCAAGGCACGGGAGGGCGGGCGAGAAGGCAGTGAAGGCAGAATTCACATCCCTTCCTCCATGGCTGCTCTCCCTGCCCAGGCCTGAAGCACGCTCCTGAGAGGTGGTGCAGCAAGGGCTCCACCCCGCCGGGACCCCAGCCCTGCACAGAAGGCTCACAGAACCCAGAGCAGGCAGAGCCAGCCTCTCAGAGCTAGCAGGTTCCTTTGGATGTGTAGGGCGCCTCCGCAGCCCAGCGACCATGGCGCACGGGTTCGCAGTGGGCTTCAACCCACAGGGCCACGGAGACCTAAGCTCGGGCTCTTTGAGCTCCCTCTCCTCCCGTGGCCACCTGGGCAGCGACTCAGGCTCCACGGCAACGCGATACCTGCTGAGGAAGCAGCAGCGGCTGCTGAACGGGCCCCCCCGGGGAATCCGAGCCTGCTCGCCCATGGGCCGCGTCATCCTCATCAACTCCCCCATCGAAGGTGGGTGCGGGGCCCAGCCACTGGCCTGCCTTGGGGGGGACGGTGGTAAGGGACAGCAGGAACTAAACAGGAGGTGGAGCCAGTGCAGGGAAATGGACATCCCAGGGAAGGGAGGGAGGTCCTTGGGGACCCACACTCTCGCTCACCTCCTCTTGCCTCTCCTCCAGGCTGGTGTTTTGGGGCTCCAAGATTGCAGCAGGCTCAGATGTGAGGGACTAAGGGCACACGGGATGAGGAATGCGCCGTGTGTGCCAGCTCCCAAAGCAGCAAGGCAGGGCACTGGACTGGCCCCTTCCCGTGGACTTGATCTTTCTGTGTATCGTGTGTGTCTGCCTTTGGGGTTGGGGCAGGGTGGGGAAGGATCAGCCCACTGTGTGGCCAGCTCAGTGCTGGGCTGTGAGCACTCAGCGCCTCAGGTGCAGGAGGAGGGGACTGAGGGTACAGCAGCGAACACTCAGAAGACAGGGAACCACAAGGGGGCTGAAGGTCAGAGAAGGAGCCCCCGGGCCGGGTCTGAAGGAGGGGGAGACCTCGGTTTAGGGGTTGCCTGATGCCACTTCCTGACATGCCCAGTCTGTACCAGCCTTGCTTAGGCCCTGCAGGGGACCCCCCAGGGAGAAATGAGGCTCAGTCTCCCCCTTGCAGTCTTTGGCCGCGTGGCAGGTGGTGGGTGGAGGGGAAGGCAGGGAGCATGGCGGGGTGGGCAGCTGGGAGACAGTGGGGCTGCAGTGACAGATGTGAGGCGACGAAGAGCTGGGGAGCGCGACAGGACCTTGAATGCCAAGGGGAGGGGACCCCTGGGCCTGGGCTCTCTGTGAACAGGACCAGATAAACATCTCCAGCTCCTCTCCTCTTTCTTGGCCAACACGGCTCCCTGGCTGAATCCCAGACTGGCCTCCTCGGGCTCTGTTCCTCCCCTCTGACCCAGCTGGGCATCTCAGGCCCCCTCCCCAGGTGCTGGCAGGGGTGGGGCGTGTTGCTCCTCCTCCAGCAGTGGCCCAGTGCCCTCGCCCTGGCCACCCAGCACGCTGTGCCTCACACTCAGCTGAGCAGCAGGACCCCACTGAGGGGCAGCACTCACGGCCGGGAGCAGAAGTCCCCAGAGAACCCGGGGCCCGGGGGGGGGGGGCCTGCAGCACCTCCTTTGTCAGCCCATTCTAGTAAACTGTACCCCCCACCACACACACTGTGCCCACCTGTGATGCCAGGGCTGTTCATGCTGCCCCTCCAAAGACCTCCTCCAGAAACCCCCTGACCACTTTCTCCCCAGCCTTGCCCTGTGCCGCCGGGCAGCCAGGGCAGCAGCGTCTCCTAGCAGTCAAAGGACCACCTGGTCCCTACCCTGCCTCTGAGCCCAGAATCTTCCCCTCTTCCTGGGTACAAACATCCCCTGGCTCACCACAGCCTGCCCCATGTTGTCCTGTGGCTGAACAAAGTAGCTGAACAGGGGGACACTGCCACATCACCCCCCAGGAGGTTGCCAGACAAAATGCATTCTCTTTAACCTACCTCAGCCATTATTCCTTGTCTCCTTAGTTCATTCATTCATTCATTCATCAGTCCATTTAATAAAAAAATACTTATCGAATACCACGTGCTGTACAACATCCTGGGGACATACTGTGGGAAAAGATGCCAAAGTCCTACTGTGAATGAGCTTTAGTCTTGTAAAAGGATGCAGGCAATACACGAGAAATAATGAGAAAGGACGGAAAGAATTTGGAAGGAAATAATTCATGTGATGCCATAGAGTAATTTTTCTCAAACTTTTTTTTTTTTTGACAGGCAGAGTTAGACAGTGAGAAAGAGAGAGACAGAGAGAAAGGTTTTCCTTCCATTGGTTCACCCCCTAAATGGCCAGTACAGCCAACGCGCTGCACCTGCATTAGCAGGAAGCCAGGAGCCAGGTGCTTCTCCTGGTCTCCCATGAGGGTGCAGGGCCCAAGTGCCTGGGCCATCCTACTGCCTTCCCAGGCCACAGTAGGAGCTGGACTGGAAGAGGAGCAACCGGGAGAGAATCCAGTGCCCCAACCGGGACTAGAACCCGGGGTGCTGGCGCCGCAGGCAGAGGATTAGCCTAGTGAGCTGCGGCGCTGGCCTTTTTCTCAAACTTTAAAAAAAAAAAAAAAGATTTATTTATTTGAAAAGCAGAGCATCAGAGAGAGGAGGGAGAGAGCTTCATTTGCCTGATTCACTCCCCAAATACCTGCAGCAGCCAGTGCTGGGCCAGAATGAAGCCAGGAGCCAAGAACTCCATCCAGGTCTCCAACATGGGTGGCAGGGGCCCAGGCACCTGGGCCAATGTTTGCTGCTTTCCCAGGCACATGAGCAGGAAGTTGGATCAGAAGCAGAGCAGCCTGGACTCCAACTAGCACTCTGATATGGGAAGCCAGCGTGGCAGGTGGTGGCTTAACCTGCTGCACCCACTGCACCATGCCAGTCCCTGGTTCTCAAACTTAAAGTGAGTCAGAATTGGCTGGAGGGCTTCCTAAAAGACAGGCTGGGGCCAGTGATTAGCCTAAGACGCCCACATCCCACATCAGAGTGCCTAGGTTCGATTCCCAGCTCAGCTCCTGGCTCCAGCTTCCTGCTAATGCAGGCTCTGGTGGGCTGCAGTGGTGGCTCTCAAGTGATTGAGTCCCTGCCACCCAAATGGGAGACCTGGATCGAGTTCCTGGCTCCCGGTTTCTGCCTCAACCGAGGGACCACTGTTGTGGACATTTTGGGAGGCAGCCAGTATGTGGGAATGCTCTTTTTCTCTATCTCTCTGCCTTTCAAAAAAGAAGACCAATTGGTGGGCTCCCCCCAGAGCCTGATTCGGTCAGTC